TGATTGTGTGTGTTACTTTGCATCGTACCAGGCGGGATATTAACACGACAAGTACATTGACCGCAGTTGCCTTCTCTTTCTATCATTTTGCACCCATCAGTGGGAAGAAAGCATCTCTGCTTAAATTCATCTGCACAGCCCCTGAATTTGGGCTGTACATCTGTGAGACTTTCTTGGACATCTTACGTTGCAGAAAAGGGAACCACAGTGATCATGCATTCTGTGATACTGGCTTTACGTGGCAGGGAATGACCCAGGATGGAGTGCCAACCCATCGCAGGGCACACTCACACCTGTGGGCAGCTTGGTAACTCCAGGCAGCCTCAGCATGCTTTTGGACAGTGGGGGGAAAACTCGGTGATGACATGAGAAGAAAATGGCGGAGACTTGAACCCTGGTCCCTGCACCACCATGCTGCCCCATATGGGTGTGTGTGCATGTATAAATGTATATAAATACAAATACACACACACACACACACACAGACACACACACGTGACCTTCCATTTATTATAATACTACAGGATATTTAGTCACAGGCCAAATGAAAACACAGGGCTGCCTGTCCACTTCGCCCCAGGTACCTTTCCTGTAAACCTGCTTTAGATTGAATTAATGTACTCGATGCTTTGCTGTTGCTCCTGGTCTCTCCCTTCCTTGATGAAGTGGACTGGGGATTGAGTTCAGTAATATCCACTTTGATCTTAAACGCATTTGCTTTGTCTAATTCATACCTGGTGGAACTAAATCAGTTCTGATTCCTCCATTATCTCTTGTATTGACTTGATTAATTGCCCTCTCCTATTAACACGTCCCTTTGTTATCCGACCATCATGCTGTGTATAAAAGGAGGCTGCAACTTAACACAGCATATATCTGTTCCCCTGTGTGTATGTGGAATTACCTCGACTTCTTTCAACAGTCCGGTTAATTGTTACTCTTGGCCTTTTACTGCGTAAAACTGGCTCATTATACATACTAATTCACTGAAGTGATCACTGATAATACCTTCAATTATTTTTCTTGTAATGGGCATCGTTGTCCAGCGCAATAAGTATTTAAGCTTTGGATGTGGACATCAAGCTAAAAGAGTGAAAGTATAAAATTCCTTTTAATACAAGGATTACAGCATCATCTGTCCATTCATCTGCTTAACCTGGTCTGGATCGCACTAATCCCCCATCATGCACTGCATGCAGTATATACAATATGCAATGTGCAATATCAGCTATAATTCTACATGTCATGCTAATCATTTTATGTACAGTGAAATAAGTCATCCACAAGGAATTCATTAGGGAAATTATGTTTCACAGTCCGATTCCTCACTTTATTTTTTTCTTTCCTTATTTTGTTTTGTTTTCTTTATTTCACCATATAATTATTTCACCATTTAATTTTTCATCATCTATAATTATGCTGTAATTGCAATGTGTTAGTGTTGGATTTTATTTAAAATTGCTGTTTGTTCCACCCATGCATATGTAAAGCATTCGAGCTCTTGTGACATTTTGAGGCACACTTGTAAATTCCACACTGTGAAGTTGCAGGTGAAAGCGATTGTTCAGCGTGCCATTATTTATTATCCAGCCAAAGGTGTGAGCCTACAACAGTGTTTACTGCCGTGCAAGGCCCATATGCTCTGTGCATGCTCAGCAATTCAGGCTACCACATGTGGTGCAGTTATGGTAAACAACCTGTGTTTGTACAATTACTACAGTGCTCTTTAAACCACTGAGAGTATTATTGAACAATGAATGCATGTGTATGCATAAATTTAAGTGCCAAAAATCACAGTTTTAAGCAGTCATGTCTGTTTCGATTTTTTAAAAACCAAAGTGGCATATTAAGGTCAAATACATTACTTCAAATAAAAAAGAAAGTTTCCATATCTACATGTGAATGAATGTTTCATTCAAGAACACAAAAAAGATCAAGAACACAAAAAAACTGTTCTGATGGCTTACTGGACCAGCTCCCAGACCAGGCTACGAGGTCCAAACACATTTAACAATGCAGTAAGATGTTTGTTTGTTTTTTTTTGCCAAAATTTTGAGGGGCAGGTGATCCCAGGTGATTTGAAAAGAAGATAGAGAGCAAGCTAGGAGAGGCACATGAAGGCAAATACAGAAATAATTTTTGAAAATAAAATAAATAAAATCCACATAAAACACATTTTGCAACTATTTGTGCTGCTCAGTTTAGGCATCATTTCCATTAGCTATTTATCTAACTTAATGTTGAGGCTCTAATCTTTTAAAACAAAGATTTTAAGAAACACAGTGCCAGTAAGTGTACACATCTCATTCATTCGTTTGTTTGTTTGTCTATCTGTCTATTTATTTATTTAAATTGTGCACATATTTTTACACTTCGGTGTCAAAAAAGCCCATCTCTTAAATGTTATAATCAAAAAATCTAAATAATTTAGCTAGAATTACAAACAAAACTAATCATACACAGTGGTCTCGGGAACAGAACCCTGCGATAAACAAAACAAATGTGTCACATGCAAATATGCTGTATTCCAGGCATGTCGACACCAAATTCAGCCAGATTACGCGTAACACAGTAGCTCTTTACCAGCAGTACTAAAACATACACCTTCTAGTTCCACTTTAGATTATGTTATACCAGTGATTATGTTATACAGTACCAGTGATTATGTTATACAGTACCAGTGATTATGTTATACCAGTGATGATTATGTTATACCAGTGATTATGTTAGACCAGTGACTATGTTATACCAGTGATTATGTTAGACCAGTGACTATGTTATACCAGTGATTATGTTAGACCAGTGACTATGTTATACCAGTGATTATGTTGTACCAGATTCTTGAGATCAGGGACAATCTTTCATAGATGAGGTTTTGAAAGAACCCTCCAGCTGTAACATCTTTTCAGAAATTACATGTTTGCTGGATCAGCACTGGATTTTTGCCAGCACCATCAGGTCTATAAAATAATTTTAAATTAACATGCCACATATTTTGACTACTTCTTGGGTCTCTTAATTATGCACACCTGTTTTCAAATGAATCATATCACCTTTTAAAATTCAGATTGACAAAATATATTTTCTCTTCAAACACATGTGTTTCTCACAAGAGCCATCTTGTGTATCCCTAGTTGCTTGTGACCCCTATAATCTTCTTAGATTAAGCCTTTAGAACAGAAAATTTCACACAAATCTTGCATTTTAATACATTGCATTGATTATGGCGTTGACACACTAAAGTTGTGACAGGCAACATATTAATAAATAGGTATGAAATGAAAAGAGTATTAAAAACTTACCGTATCTAGAGTGGCCTCATAGCATTAAGAAGAACAAGGAAGTGTTGAAGAGGTTTTCAGTGTTTTAGTTAACGACAATAATTCTTAATTGTTTTATTAAAAAATGTCTGACAATGTTGACAAAAATTCAAGATACAAGTTCAATTTACTAGAAAGTACATTAAATCATTCCTTAATTGTAACTTTTGAAATTATTCACAAACCCATTTGCACATAGTAATTGTGAATTTTACATTACTTTTAATTCTTTTATGCTATTGTAATAAACTGAGACCTTCAGGACAAGGGCTTCCTCAGGCACTGGTCACATATTGTACCATTTTGAATAAAAAAACATTCATAGAACAACATGAAATCACATTTAGTTGTGCTACCAATCCCTGTTTAGATTTTGCTTATTTGTATGAAGAGTGATATGCACATTTTCATATCCAAATTTATCTGGTGGACACGTCTCATGACCGTTTGTCATTCATTTTTTATTTTTTATTTGCAAAGAACTAAAACATGATGATACTGCTCTGCCCGAAACAGCTTAGAGCTCAAATTTCACACTCCGTACTAAGAGCACAGCAGTGATATCAAGTAACAGTAACAGTCAAACAAAGCAGCACCCTTATGCATCTCAGCGGGACGATGAAGAACACTATTATTATTACTGTTTACATTGTTCAATTCCGTTCACACAGCCTAACATCAGAACTACGCAGGAGGTTACTTTATGTTTCATAGGGAGGACAGACTATAGTGCCTAAAGCAACAAATCTAATATTACGCAATTTTTAAAAAACCCCGCTGATGTCATGTAGCCTAAAATAGGATTCAGATCCAGTGCACAGATTCCCATTGTTATCTGAGTCCAAGTGGACAGTGTTAATTGCAGTTAGCTTTCACACTCCATATTTTTATATGATAAATAATTCTCTCAACTCTCGATGAAGAACAGCCCATGTGAAAAAACGAGCCAAAATGAAATGAGTTCAACACCGTGTTGCAAACTGACTCCACATTAAATGCTTCTCTGGCTTTCTGTTAAAGAACTACAGGCATTAACTGCCTCTAAAATACTGTTTAGTTCACTAAAATAGTTCACTTTTCTGCCATGTGTTTTTAATTATATTTTTTGTGTCCAATTGTTTATTGTTTTCTTATATTTGCACTACAAAAAATGAAAAAACATACAATGAAATATATAAAATATTTGGACAGCAAATTACATTTCCATATGATCTTTAGCAAGAACAAGTAGGATATTTATAAATATAGAAGTAGACTCTTCATGTAGCTACACTGCAGGTTAAGTACTGGGTCTAAAGTTACTAGTCTACCCTGTCCTTCAGTTTCAGCCTACAAGCATCAGCACAGCAATTAAGCTTATTTACTCAAGCAATAAAGAACAGGAAGTAATTTAAAGATATTTAAAAGTGTGACAGTGCCAGACTAGAACTCGAAGTCATTTACGCAATATTTGATATACCAGCCTTTTAAAAATTATACAGTAATGCAACTGCATCTGTATTACAACATAATTCACAAGGCTCGTGTGAATAACACTTTTCACACGAAAGTGAAAAGTCAAATGTTTTTTTGTAAATATCTTAAAATGTTTGAAATAATAAAATATACACTGCAAAGTATTGTGACTGTAAGATGTACCAGCGGATGTAATTAATTTGCCCTGTATTGCTTTTTCCACAGGTTAGGTACCAGTAAGGAGCTCATCATTAGTTCCCAGCCAGTTCCCAGTGGGCCCTGGATACAAATGTTATTTAGCCGTCTTCACTCGCTCTGAATCGTGTTGTCAGCTGTCGTTCGGATTACAAGGGAGGCATGAGTGTGGGCATGAACAAGCGCTACAGCATCGTGTCTTCAGAGGAGGAAGGACTGCGGCTCACGACCATGCCGGGAGTGAATGGCTTTGGCAACGGCAAGATCCACACCCGCCGGAGGTTCCGCAACCGCTTCGTCAAGAAGAATGGCCAGTGCAACGTTCAGTTCGCCAACATGGACGAGAAGTCCCAGCGCTACATAGCCGACATATTTACCACCTGTGTTGACATCCGCTGGAGGTATATGCTTCTGGTTTTCAGCCTGGTGTTTGTGCTGTCCTGGCTGGCATTTGGGTTAGCCTTCTGGGTGATCGCGCTCTTGCACGGGGACCTGGACAATCCTGCAGGGGATGAAAACTTCACCCCATGTGTGCTCCAGGTAAACGGCTTCGTGGCGGCATTCTTGTTCTCCATCGAGACTCAGACCACTATTGGCTACGGCTTTCGCTGCGTGACAGAGGAGTGTCCCATGGCCGTCTTCATGGTGGTGTTCCAGTCCATTGTGGGCTGCATAATCGACTCTTTCATGATTGGGGCAATCATGGCAAAAATGGCCCGGCCCAAGAAGAGAGCCCAGACACTACTTTTTAGCCACAATGCTGTAATCGCACTGAGAGATGGCAAACTCTGCCTCATGTGGCGAGTTGGGAATCTAAGAAAGAGTCATATTGTGGAAGCCCATGTCAGAGCGCAACTGATAAAGCCTCGGGTCACAGAGGAGGGCGAATACATACCTTTAGACCAAATAGACATTAATGTTGGGTTTGATAAAGGTCTAGATCGTATCTTTCTGGTCTCCCCTATAACAATCCTCCATGAGATTGATGAAGAAAGCCCGCTCTTTGGCATCAGCAAACAGGACTTGGAAACGGCCGATTTTGAGATAGTGGTCATACTCGAAGGGATGGTGGAGGCCACGGCAATGACCACGCAAGCACGCAGCTCGTACTTGGCCACAGAGATCTTGTGGGGTCATAGGTTCGAACCTGTCCTCTTTGAGGAGAAAAATCAGTACAAAGTGGACTATTCCCACTTCCACAACACCTATGAGGTACCGTCGACCCCGCGCTGCAGTGCCAAGGACATGGTTGAAAACAAGTTCCTGGTCCCTACCACAAATTCTTTCTGTTATGAGAATGAGCTTGCTTTCATGAGTAGGGATGAGGAGGATGAGGAAGACACTGACAGGGCACTGGATGACTTGAGTCCTGATGTCAACAGCCGGCAAGAGTTTGAAAGGCTACAGGCCACCTTAGGAATGGAACATATGCCATTCCGGAGAGAGTCTGAAATTTGACCTCGGCCTTTGACCCGGCATCAACTTTTAATTGCATTTCCTCAAATGCTTTATTTCACTGAATAAATGCAGAACAATGCAAGTGCCATAGGAAAACATAACTACTGTAATAGCGCTATAAAGTCAAGGGACAATAGCTCTTATTTTCAATCTCAAAGCAAAAGGAAAAAAAATGAGACAAACGTGAGTGAAAACAGAACGCATCCTAGTCAAAGAGTGATCAGAGAGGAATTCTTATAAAAACTTGAATTTTTTCATATGGTAGAGCAAGCTGAAAGCTTTACACGACAAAATATTTTAAAATCCCATCTTCAGATGGGTTAATCACAGACTTAGGGTGTAAATAGACAGCTTAGATAAGTAATATTTTGTGTGAAGCATTATTATGAACAAATCTATTTAAAAACATAAGTCTTTTGGTATGTTAACCTGCTATTTGGTACAAAACGACCGTAGTACTGCCAGTGGAAGGGGTGCAATCCCACACCTGCCATATAGAAAATCTGGATTTTCACATACAAGTCCATAGGTCCAGTGACAAAATTCCTTGGAAGTGCATTGCTGCATCTGACAGTAAATGAGCCGCATAATGCAAGTGTGGGGTGGCATAGTGTCGTTGTTACTGAGGTGAAACACCAAGCTGCTACGTGGCGAAAACGACCGCAAGGAAAAAAGACACGTCTGGCAACTTATCAAAGACTCAGCACTAATTTGCACTATTATTTGAGGATCATCACATTATGTATGTTGCACATTTACATCAGTCTCTCAGTGACTTTGCTTTGTTTTCCCAGACTGATCGGTTCTTTGATTTTAGGTTACTAGCAGAAACTACTCTACGTCATTAAAACGCAGTCATCAAACAGTCACACACAAGGCGCACAAATACTGAACCTAAAACAGCATTTTTAAGATAACTATTAAATCACTTATCTGAAAATGACAGCTTTTTTAGTAAATGCATGGCAGTGATATTCATATGTATGTATTAAATATTATTTACATCCTCTCCACTTGAAGCAAATTAAACTGAGATTATCGAATTGAGAGATTACAGTTTATTAAACTGTTTTTACGTCCGTCACTTTGTTACCTGTATCTATGCACATCAGAAATTTTATTGGAAGGTAGGAGTTCTTGAAGAAGTGTTGACTTTACATATTATCTAACAGATTCCTCTGCAAGACACCAAGCAGAAATACTCAGAAGTTAAACAAATCGATTTTGTAGCATATTCCTGGGGCAATATTGCCCTAGCAATGAGTAATTACCAATAATTTAGATGGAATAATGAATGCATTACAATAATTACTACAGCATTATTAAATTATCAAAAACCATGGACATTTTCAATAGGAAAACATGAGGTGAGGATGAAGAGTACTGATGTGGAGAATAAGCGTCTTTTGTTCATTCTTGAGGATTATGGTCACATAATTTTCCGGATATGAACATAAGTGGGATTAAGACATAAGGCACCTCTATGGACAAAGCTTCTACTTACCCAGATCATATTGATCTAACTGATCGGTGGTGCCTGTCTTAAAGCACATGGACATGGGCCGAACGCCAAACGTCCAGGGAACCACGACTGTCAGCCAGCACCGTGGAGAGGATAGCTGAGTCTCAGCAGAATGGTGCGAAACCCATCCTGAAGGCTGGCGGGTAAAAACCAGATGAGAGGAAGTGCGCTCGGCACGGCGGTATATGTGGCAGTATCCGGCTTCTTTTGTTTTAGAAATTTCATTTTTGGTCTGACTCCTTTGTGACTTTATAACCTAGTAGAGAATTCTAAATTCTAAAGCTGCAGAAAGTGAGACTTAGACTGCATGGCTTAGATTTTCGATAGCGTGGTATCAACATTTAGTGACTAATGTAACTCATAGTTAAGGTGAACCAAGATCCGACTCCCCCCCCCCCCCCAAATCACCTTATCCTTGCTAACAGGGTTGCTAAGCAGATTAGGATAGTGGGTAACTGCTGATTATGTAGAGCACATCCTTGAACTTTAAGGTATCCTTTTAAGTCCGACAACAAAAATTAAACATAAGACCACTCTGCCATATACTTTAGAATGGTGTACTATTCAGACTAGAATAGACTAGAGACAACTAGAGAAAAACACCTTATTCGCTTGGAAACAGAAAAAAAAAAACATAAATTCATGACAATAAGACAAGACTAATTACTTCACCATAAATCAAATTTGTGGAAACAGATTATGGGCCACAATTTCATTACAAGTTGGATCATTTCATCACCAACAACACCCAAAATTGCATTTCTGCTATTCCCACAAGAAATGCACGATGCTACAACAGTCATGGCCTTCGTAAACAAATTTCAAACTGGGCTTTGCGGGCAAAATACAGAAGTGTTATAAATATTGGATAGACAGGGAGGTTGCTGTTTAATTTTTTAGAGAATACATTTCCTTCCGTTGTTTCTGTACAGTCTAAATGATAGGCCTCAAGGCTTCACCTTTCCCCCACTCATTTTCAGCAACTCATTCCCCAACTAAGAGTGCTTCCCATACACAAAACCCAACATAGCTATAAGAAAGTCTCTTCAACCAAGTGGATTCATTTTTGGCCCAAATGCACTTCATCACCTGCAAAGAAGCTAGCTATATTTTCTGTTGATATAATTTCCGAGAAGAAAAGCAATGCGTTGAGGACAAAGCGGAAGTATGGTGTGTTGGAAGACCACCCAGCCTACAGTGTAGTGCCTAGGAAAAGCAATAAACAAAGCGAAAGTGGACAGACTCAGCAATAACTACTGGAACGCACCTTTGTTCACTAACAAGTATACTGACCCATTTGGTTTTGTTCGACTGGAGATTGAAAAGGTCTCGTCACTGACATTCACAACATGTTTGTCCACAACAATCAACCACTCTGCAGTGGTTGTTTCCTCAAGGATATGAACTGCTGAACAGGCATTTAAGAAAAGAAAAGAAATTCTGAGGATGCTGCCATCCCAGAGGGGGCAGAATGTCGAGACTCATCTGGACTAAATTAGAAGTCTTGGGGTGGGGGGGTTGATTATCCACATCAGAAAAAGCAGCAAGGTATTGATGCACCCTGTGCTTTGGCTGAACTCTCTGCATTCTGTACTTTAGGACAAATGCTTCTCACCTTGACGTTTTTAAACTATTACTGTTACTGTAAAATGCCTGCTGTTCCTCATACTGTATGCTGAACTGGGTTTAAACTTCTCAAAACTTTTGTTTTTCTGTAATGGCACAGGCTACATTTTTGAGGTCTGCCTTACACTTTGCACAGCAAGGGCATAGATTTGGGTATGGAGGGTACTGACATGTCCCTGTCAATATTGTGGGAGTGCCCAGTGTGTGAAGGGGGGTCCCGATCAATGCTGAAACCAAAGCTACGCCCTTGTTGTGCATGTTGTCTTCTGTGAAGCATCAGGTGACATTTCACACAGTATTTTTCACACTGTCTTACCCACACCTGTCACATACTTCACTTTGTTCATCTCAGATATACAATTTTTACCAATGACAGATTCTTCACTACATAAATCAACAGGCTCCTGGTCATAGGTGAACTGTTAGATCACATTAAGTGTGTCCTAGTCTGACATCCTAAGTTTGACTCCTGGGTAATCATTTTGCGTCTTCTTTGCCACCTGTCAGAATAATTTCTAGCTATTAAACGAGTAGGCACATAGTTTAAAACTAGACACTTAAACTGAGTTGCTTTTTTCATCTTTGCCCCCAAAACAGCACCACAGATAAATATCTGTGAATAAAGAACACAAAATGTGCATCATACATGTTTGAAGGCAAGAAAAAGGACCGTTTGAAACGGATTCCATCTGTATTGGCCAAAAAGTTTGTACATTATCATTATCATTCATTTATTCACTGATGAGGGGGGCAAACAGTAACTTTCCAGATCACAAAAAGACACGTAGGTAATATTCTCAAGGTGAAAAGAGTTTTTGCTCCCGCCCTAATCTGTATGCTTTGTACTGCCTTCTGGGAAGGCTCTTGTAACCTGTTGTGTGAAACCGTTGTTCCTACTATAGGATGTGAGGCCTCTCTAGAATGTTTGTGGTTCTCACTACATGTAACCATGGTAATAATGTATCATTAGCTTCTATGCTGCATCATGGGAATGTATGAATCATTATGCTTTTGACTTGTAAATTATTAGTTTTATTTGTTAAAAAAATCTGATCCCACTCTTTAAAAGCAAATGTACTGGGTACACAAAGTAAGTGAAAAATGTGGATACCTGCTCAATATTCACACAAATCAACCTATTTATTTTTATACCTAATAGATTATTTTCCTGACATCAGATAGGAAAATCATCTTGTAAAGATGGGTTTTTACAGGTTTTTCTTGGCAACTGTAATGACATAAAAGTACACATCTAAGATAAAGATGTTTTTGTTGTCTTACTTGTTAATAATTTCACTTTCAGCACAGAAGCTTGTGATACAAACCAGTATTTCTCTTAAAGGGATGATTGGATGACCTTTGACCTCTGTAGAAGTCTTCCTCTATGCCCAGATTATAAACAGAAAAAAATGACACTGGGTTTTTTTTTTTGTTGCTTTATTTTAATTTAGTTAATTTTATTTTAATGGATGAGAATTAAATTATTCAATTAAAATATAATGGCTAAACAAAACTGCTGCAGCCTTTCATTTTTTATGCAACAGTATTAGTTTGCCTGCAAACTACTTCTGAAATTACTTGAAGAAATATTCAAAGTTGGCTGAACACAATACCTCATTGTGTCCTTGTGAGATTTTTGTAACAGCTATTGACTATCCACACCCAGTGAACAATGAGTACAGAAACAAGAGTGTCGGGAATAAGAAAAGTTGCTTTTTCATTTGAGTGACAAAGATCTAATTCACAAGGACATCATTTTTAAGACACTGCAATGGTAAGACGGATGGAGAGATAAATATGGGTACAGCTGACCCGTTTGCATCGCGACGTTTCCCATCACAGTTTGCATATATCCTGGGGTCGGCATAAGGAATTAAATAGGATTTCTTTGGGAGTTCCTGGGAACATTGCAAATGCCGCAGACAGCGCACAAAAAGTTTATTAAGTCCTAAATGCATAAAATATGTGTACAGTGTTGGTTTGGAGGGCGCCAAGTGTGTTTACCACAGCTTCTCATGCGATATCTCACAGCGATCTTTGTATGTTTGCTTTCATGCCCAATTCACTGGCCAAGGGGAGGAAAAAAAATTGATGTGGTTTTTCCAGATTGTTGGGGGCTGAAGAATACATGTCTAGAGGTGTCTAGAGGGATGTACTGAGAAAAAAAAAACTGTATGATGAGGAAATACCATCATACCATCATACATAAGTTAACTTCATCATCCACTACTTTTGTTTACTCAGCTGCGTAGATATTTTAGCTACAAGACTAAAGACTATAAACTTTTCCCTGTAACAAATGTAACAAGGCACCAGTCACAATGATCTGTGAGCTTTGGCCCTGCTGCAATTTAATAGCCAATATCAGATTACCTGATGTTTTTTTGTTTTGTTTTTAATTTCACAACAATGTTCATTTCCTTTATTTAAAACATTCCTTGGAATTGCAATTTTGAAATCACATTCAACCATTCAAATTAATAATAATCTTTCCTGCATTTCATTAGACTGATTTTCATTTTGTTTTTGATTTTGAAGTGTGTGCCACACATTGTCATTGCTATTATCATTGTCATTCCCATTCAGAATATATTTAAACTTGTACTAATTAAAAATAAAAGATAGTGTTTTATATAAAATGCAACTATTGTAGCAGTAGACGCAGTGTTTTTTATTATTATCCAAATATAGACGCTAAGCTGATGTGGAGGGTGACATAAAGCACCACTGAAAAGTGCGAAAGTATCCAGGTCAATCTGAAGAGCCTGGAGCACGAGCAGAGCCACAAAGCGTGATGCAGTGTGTCTGCTGCACTCAGAGGGCACAGCTGGGTTCAGCAGCCGCAAAGGGCCTTGTCTTCAGTGAGAGACTTGATTAATTAAGAACATGGCGGAGTTTATAATAAATCAAGTTAACGAGCGGCAGAATGTCACAGATATACAAACGCGTTGACCAAGAACAAGAGGAACAGGACATCCCTGCATGTTTGCTTAGATTTGAATGATGTTCCTCCTCAATTTTCACAGTTAACATGATAAATATACCCAAGTTTTTTTACATTATGTTCATGTTGGGTTCATTTAATTTAGTAGTCTAAATCTGGTATTTAAAAATTATTTGCAGTGACCCTGCCCAGGTATGCAGTTAGAAGATTGATGGATAGATAAACCTATAAAGAACTCTATTTTTAAACTCATGTACAAAGATCTATGTTCTAATGCAATTATTGTTATTATTTATTTTTTAAAAATCCATGTTTTGGCATCTTTGATGATACCAGTTCCGCTAAGGCTTTGCAGAGTGATATCTGCTGGAAAATGGAATGAAGGGCAGAACTTATATTTAAATGAGATAATTAGAAGAGATGAGATGCTGGGAGATGCATGTTCTTGTCGTTTGTCATGACAGCGGCCGTGTGGGCACATGAAAATGACTGTGAAAACCATGAAGGACAATAACATGAAGCTGGCTCTGCTTCTCCACATGGATACTAATCTCCAGATTTCAGAGACAAACACTGATCGGCAACATTTATGCATAAACTACGCTGATGCACATGGGATAAATATCACTCATGTAGAGCACAGCTGTGGATTGCTGTACAATGTGGCAGAGGAGCCGGCAATTTCTCTGCAATCAAGGCTTTATAAGGGGAACATAATCAGGGTGTTACACAGCAACAGCAAGTGTATTCTTGAGGGCTGGTTTATTTTAGGACTGTCTCACACATACGGGCACAGCTGATTATTGTAGCAAGGGAATTATCTGTAATACAATCAGTTACTGTGTTCTGTACCTGAAGACACTATGGTCAGGTGTCTTTGGGTGCCTGCCTTAAATCTTCAAAAGTAATGGGTTGTATTGATCTTAAATATGCCAGAATATTTGGCTCTTTCATAGTGCTGTAGTCAAGTGATTTACATTTGGACTCAGCAGCAGTGCACTGATTTACGTGTCAAGAAATGCAGTCACGATTAACTCTGAGCGGAGGGAACGATACTCCCCGGAGACTTGCCTTGTGCCCTGTTTATATTCGAGAGCATTTGCATCAGCTGGAAGATGGGTCACATATGATGACCCTCGATTCAGCAGCGAATCGATGCCAGATGTCAAGGGCTCCTCTAAATTAGGCCTGCATTGACCTGATGATGTCGCTTAAACTCACTTAAGGTTAAGAAGATGACTGTAAGTCAAGCACTGTTCTCTAATGATATTCCAGTGAGTGAATCACTCTGCTTTTGGTCTCCCACATCAATTCATGTTTAAAACTCAAATCAATTGTTTGTAGAGTTTATGGTTCTGAGTTTCATTTTGGCACAGTGAGATGACGCTAGACATGAATGGGAAGCAACATAAAGAAATGCTGGCTGTTGAAAACTGGAAACGCGAAGACCTGCTATCATTTCCCCAGCTGGGACTTCCCTCTGAGTATAGCGTGGAGTATGACGGAAGGAAAGTTGTCATCATTGTCTTGGTTTGGCTGGTGGAGAACCTTTGGTGCTCCGTTGCTGATGGCTGTGTGTAGGTCTCATATCAGCTGAGCTTTAATTAATAGTTTCTCTTTGGCTGAGGACTAAACACATTTTGGTAACACTTTACTTGAAGCAGTCTACATAAGGGTGACATGTAACCGTCATAAGAATGACATGACACATGTCATGCACATTAATGACACATTATTGATGTTTCTGACTGTTGTCATAAACATCACTGTTGTCATAATGTGCCACTCGGTTTTTGGAACTGAATTTAAACCAAATGCGGCTGTAAGTGTGTTGAACCAAATGTTAAACAAAAAGTGTTACAGGTGCTGTTCTTTTAATTTAATATTACTTGATCTAGTGTCAAACATCACTAAACGAGCTGAGACTGCATCTAGATGGCTGTGGCTAAAGCGCTGTGAGCGCTGGAACAACCCACTAAGTAGGAAGGAGTCATCTTGAGCAGTGGCTGTGGAGCCGGAGGGGCCGAGGGGGCAGCCCCAGGACACTGGGGTTAGCTGTCAAGCCCTCTGGAGGTGTTGTGGGTTAATTGACGAAACACTGGTGAAGGGGGGTACCCACCTGATGACCTGAAGAAAGCACCAAAGGCCCACACCACAAGCTCTGTCAGGCAAGTGTTGGCCATCATCCTCAGGAAAGTGGCTGGATGTCCATCCAGCCGTTGGGGGCGAGAGCGATGAAACCATCGTATAACAGACGATGTGATTGTCTATACAGCTTTGTTTGGTTACAATTAATTAGCATAAAACTTAATTTCCTTTACTATTTACAGAATACTGGATTGCTCAAGAAGAACAGCCGGATGGTCATTCATTCCTAGAAATAATTACCATACTATTCATCTGAGGAGCCAAATAATTGTTAAAAAGAAAATATATTGTTTCAGGATGATAATTGTCCCTTGACTATAAAAATAGTTCTGCATTTCGACAGTATAGGTGAGAGCATCAACAGCTCAGTAAAAAAATCAAGTTCATTAAGATCTCAGCAGCAATGAAACACAGCACAACTCAGGCCAAGGAGTTCAGTTTTACACCCCAGCTCTAAAGTCAGGCTCAGACTTCAGTGGTTAGGACCGCTGTGTATTGGTGTAATTAGGACCACCAGCACCATTACTGTTGGAGTGCATTAGTCTGGGTGTGGATAGGACTACCAACATTATTATTGTTGGAGTGCATTAGTCTGGGTGTAGGTAGGACCAACAACATCATNTGTTGGAGTGCATTAGTCTGGGTGTGGATAGGACTACCAACATTATTATTGTTGGAGTGCATTAGTCTGGGTGTAGGTAGGACCAACAACATCATTATTGTTGGAGTGCATTAGTCTGGGTGTGGATAGGACTACCAACATTATTATTGTTGGAGTGCATTAGTCTGGGTGTAGGTAGGACTACCAACATTATTATTGTTGGAGTGCATCAGTCTGGGTGTAGGTAGGACCAACAACATCATTATAGTTTGGACCTGCCAACACTACTATCACTAAATCATACTAATTTGCAGTTTCCAATGTGAGTCAAAAAGAAATAGCTGTGTTCCTATATGAGAATAAGGTGGGCAAATGGTCAACAAGAAAGAAAGATCTAACAAAAGTCAGAGCCGGAATGCTTCTCGATAAAAAAAAATGACAAGCCTGGAAGTGTGAGGAACTGGAGCAAAGATAATGCAGCCCAGGTGCTCAACAAACAGAGCATACAGCTCATGGGCTTCTAACACACAGTCTGTCCTTCAGCAAACCTGTGATCAAACTGCAAACCA